CCCGCCTGACAAGTGCCGAGGTTCCCGGCTCACTTAGGGGGCATGCCTGTGTGCCAGAGTGGCACCAGGAACCAGAGACATAGGCTCAGGCTGGGGCCTCCTTGTCAGGGAGGAAGCTGTGCCCAGGCAGTGAAAATAAGAAGGGATGGTCTGGAGGGGAGGGGTGAGTCACGAGGTAGGCGCAGGGATGGGGAGGTCCCCACCAAGGAGCCCATCTCTGATGTGCAGTGCCCAGCCCAGGCCAGCCGATGGACATTGTTGCACACCTTGCCGTCTGACTGCACCTGGACTTGACTTGGGCAGGGAGCTGGGAATCAGGGCATTTCAGCAAGATGGGGCGGTGCAAAGGCCCAGAGCTGTGGCCCCCCAGGCTGTGGTCTGTGGCTCGTTTTCCTGTCGTGGCTGCCTTGAGGGTACTGACAGCAGAGCCTCTGGTGTGCTGTGTGCTTCGTGTGCTTTGTTCCCTCCATCCTGTGTGCTGAGGTCGCCTTGTAGTTTCAGTTTCACAGGCGAGGACACCAAAGCATAGAGAGGTCAGTGATTCGTCCAAAGTCACAGAGCTAGGAAGCCGGTTGAAACTCAGGCCTGTCCCGCTAGTGCCCTCCCCTAAGGCCAGGGAAGCCCTACCTGCAGCCTCTGACTTGTACTCACCCCCAGCCTCCAGGAAGTCACATGTCCGCCGGCGCGGGGTCCTGGATCTGGCGAAGGTTGTGACTTGTGTTGGCCCCCGAAGCCCCTTCGCCTACATCAAGTATGGCTGCTTTTGTGGCCTGGGTGGCTATGGCCAGCCCCGGGATGACATCGACTGGTGAGTACATGGGCCCAGGCTAGATGGTCCCCATACCTGGGGTATTGAAGTCTGTGAGGAAATACCCAAAACTGGAGTTGGGGTTCAGCCCTGGAAGATCCTAGCGTGTGGTGCTCCCTTGCAGGCATAGGGCCTCCTGGGTGGCGCGGCCAGTTTGGCCAGATCTTGGTGCCAGCTGCCCCTACCCTGCTGAAAAGTACGTTGAGCAGCCAGACTTACCATCCACCAGGAACTGCTCTGAGAATCCCTTTGTAGCCTAAAAACAACCCCATTTCACAGAGGGGGACAAACAAGGCACAAGATTAAGTGACTCATCTGGGACCACACCGAGTGCGGGTGTGGGCGCCGGGGTTTGCAGCCAGTCTGGCTGATTCCATGCCCCGCTGTGTGGAAGTGCCTGCTCCATGCACACAGTGGGCTGGTCTCCTCCCGGGCCTTCCTCCCATTTACGTCACAGCCACACATGGAGACGGCATGGCGATGACCCCCACTTTACAGACGAGGCTCGCCCAGCTCCATACCGCTACAGCGCGGGATGTGCCAGACTCTTTCTAGCTCAGAGGCTGTGATTGTCATCGAGAGGCCTTCACTTGCCCCTGTGCCTTGTATGCTCCCCCACTTTGCTTGTCTGGTTCCTGCCCCTCCTGCAGATGCTGCTTGACCATCACCTCCTCCAAGAAGTCCTCCCTGAAGCTTTGTTGGGCCTGCTGCCTCCTCTAGGCTCCCAGAGGCCCCACTGCTCCCCCATATCCCAGCATTTCTCACCATGCATATGCCTGGTGACCTGCCTCTTCCCTCCGCTGTCCCCAACACCCCCAGACTGTGGGCTTCCTGAGGGCCGGGCTGGAGCTGGCTCAGCTGTCTGCTTGACATAGTGGGCTGCCAGGCATGTGGGAGAATACCCCTGAAGGAGGGAATGATGGCCAGGCATGGGGCATTTGGAGTGTTCAGTCGTAAAAAGGCCATAACAGGACTTAAGGCCCTATTAGGTGGCCAGGCTCTGGGGACATGGTAGAGGCCAGGACAGACATGGTCCTACCCCCACAGAGCTCTGCTTGACAACGAGGACAGAGAGAATGATAAATCTGCTCTAGGAAAGGACTCCTGGTTTTAGGCGAGGGTGTGACAGACAGTCCTAGCCCAAGGAGATAGGGAGAGACCAACATCCTGGCTTAGGGGCTAGTGCTCAGGCCAAGACCCAGAGGACAAAGATGGGCATGAAGTTGTCCCGGACAGATGCACAGCGTGGGCAAAGTGAGGAGGTGGGAGGATTGGGGCTCTGTCCAGGAACAGGAGGAGGCCAGTGCACTGGATCTCAGAGATTCAGAGTGAGGCTTGGGCCTGGCCCGGGGATAGAGAGGTGCAGGGCATGCTGGGGCCAGGGCCATTCTTTCCTAGGACATGAGTTCTCAGGGATGGAGCTTCGAACCAGAGGACGTGGTTCCATGGCGATCTTCATTCCCCCTAGCCCCAGCTAAGGAGGCTGACCTGGAGCTCACCCAACCTCACCGCCCTGGTTTGCCCATCTCCCACCCACAGGTGCTGCCATCGCCACGACTGCTGTTACACTCGGGCTGAGGAGGCTGGCTGCAGACCCAAGATAGACAGCTACGCCTGGCAGTGTGTCAATCAGACCATCCTGTGTGGTGAGTCCCCAGCTCTGCACGCGCCGTTTACCCCAGGGTCCCCAGGGCTGCCTGGCAGAGCCAGTGACTTCTGCACCCCTGTTGGCATAGCAGATCTTTGCTTCCCCTGCTCCTTGGGCTCTCTAATGCTGAGCACGAAGGAAGCAGCAGCCGCAGACAAACCCATATCGTTGGTGTCTGTATGAAAAAGAAAAAGATGGAAATGACACCAGGTATAAACAAGTCTAAATGTCCATCAGAGCGGGGCTGGTGAACGACCCACGGTGTGTTCTCACAGTAGAAGAGTCTGCAGCCTGGAGGAAGGACACAGTAGAGCTATAGAGGAGGAGACTTCAGAAAGTTCATGGAAAAATGGAATTAAAGTATGAGCTTATTTTGGTGAAAATTTTTTTGAAACCCATACATAGTTTGTTTATAAACTGAAGTCTCTTAATATTGACATGGAAAGATCAACATCTTGTGAAAACATAAGCTCCAAAATGCCTTTCCTAATATAACACCATTTGTGTTTAAAAACAGAAAAAACGAAAAGAGGGGCCAGACAGTGGCACAACGGGTAGGAAAAAGCTCTGTGAGGCAGTCTCATATGGGACGTTTCCAATTCAAGTCTGGATAAACTACTTTTGTTTATACATTATTAGGTTGTTTCTACCTTTGGCTATTGTTAAGAGTGCTGCTATGAACACTCACGAACAAGTGTTTATTTGACTACAGTACCTGTTTTCAATTATTTGGCATATATACATAGGAGTGAATTGCTGGGTGATGTAATTCTATTTTTTGCTTTTTGAGGAATTGTAAAATTGTTTTTCATATTAGATGTACCATTTTACATTCTCAGTGGCAATGTATGAGGAATCTAGTTTCTCCAGAACCTTGAAATACCGGTTATTTTGTAGTTATTTCTATTAGTGGATGTGAAGAGGTATCTGCTTATGGTTTTGGTTTGCGTTTCCCTAATGACTAACAATGTTTAGCATTTTTTTCATGTACCTTTGGCCATTTTTATATCTTATTTGGAGAAATGTCTAGTTAAGTCCTCTGCCTATTTTTAATTGGATTGTTTGCCTTTTTTATTGTTGAGTTATAAAAGTTCTTTGTATATTCTGGATACTGATCCTTCATTAGATCTATGATTTAAAAATATTTTTCTCCATTCTGTAGGTTGCTTTTCTTCTTGTTTTTCCTTTTTTCCCCCCCTTTTAATTGTCAAGAAGGCACAAGAGAAAGAGAGAGAGAAAGCGAGCACTCCCCAGTGGAGTGTGGTCACATCACATCATGGTCCTATCTCCTCCATTTTTCCACTCTTTTGGAACACATATGTGCATGCACTCAGTGTGTTTTTCAAGCTGCTGGGGCTGATTTGAGTTGCAGTTGGCCATGTAGGGTCTGTCTCCCTTAATGATCAGGCTATAGGTCTGGCCTTGTCTTCATTTGCTTGATGATGTCCTGGATGTCAAAAGTTCTAAATTCTGATGAAGGCCAAAATAGCAATTTTGTTTTTTTGTTGCCCTTGTCTTTGGTGTTCTAAGAATCCATTACTAAATCCAAGTTCATGAATTATCTTCAAGTTTTACTGTTTGCATTCTTATACAAGGAGTCTTCAGAAAGTTCATGGGAATGGAATTACGAGTTTCTTTTGGTACAGAATAAAATCTTGAAACTCCCACATAGTTTTTTCATAATATGGATTTTCTATGAACTCTTTGAAGAACCCTCATATTTAGGTCATTGATCCAGTTTGAGCTAGTTTTTGTGTCTGGTAGGTATTCAACTTCCTTCTTCATTCTGTTTGTAATCTAATTGTTCCATCACCACTTATTGAACAGACTATTCTTTCTGCTTTGAATAGTCTTGTTACCTTTGTTGAAAATCACTTGGCCCTAGAAAGATGACGATTCCATCACTTTGAGCAAATGAGTTGACCTCTCTGAGCCTCAGTTTTCTTATCTGAAATATGGGTGCTGTGGAGATGAGAAAATCTTCATAACATGATAAACAAATAGGGTTTTTCTTCTTTCTTTTCTCCTCTCTTCTCTCTCTCATCTTCATCTGGATTTCTCCCTGACCCCACTACCTCCTCTAAAGAGAATCTAGGATCTAGCTGATGCTTCACTAAAACCCCTTTTTCTGTGGACTTGGTCTGCTGTAAAGGTAAAGAGGCCCTTTCAGTGTTGGTAGGAGGATGTTTTTAAATAGGCATGGCTTCGTAGTCATATCTCCTTAGTATGAATTAGGAGTTGGCATTAAGAGCAAAGCTAAGCTGATCTGGAGACATGCTTTTCTCTTTTTTTTTTTAAGAAGTTTTTGCCTTAGTTTGTATGTGCTTGCCTAAGAGAGAGACAGAGATAGTGAGAGGGAAAGTGAGAAATCACTCCCCACGAGAGATGGCCATGCTTCAATCCCTTCTCCTCCAATCTCCTCCTGGGATTTTGGGCACGCATGCACATGTGCCCAGCATGATTTTTTTAAGCCACCAAATCTGGGACTCGAACCACAGTCGGTCATGTGGGAGTCCAGCAACATAACTGCCATGCCATCTGCTGGCCCCCATGACATTGATTTTTAGGATTGAAAGTTTCCCAAGCATCATTTCATCCAACCCACTCATTTAGAGTTGGGGAAACTGAGGCCCAGGGGAAAGAAATGACTTGTCCTTAAATTGACCCTTCTGGTGTGGACAGAGAGGAGGTGAAGTGGGGCTTGGATGAGAAATCTATCAAATACGTTTCCCTCCTCCCTTCAGCTTACATGTTTTGCTTGCTTCTACTCATGTGAAAATGATGTTTATAAAATATTTTTTGGTGTGTCTGCTGGTGGAGTCTGTGCCTGTTTATAGCACCGTCCTCCTCCCTGAACCAAATGAAAAGAACCAAAATATCTATTATGTATTTGTGGCTAAAAATATTCTCCTATTCTGTTTGGAGATATTCTGAACATAGTTGTCTGTTTAATTATAGGTTTGGCTCATTTTCCATTTATGGGCCTAACTTAAATATATTCAAAAGATTTAAAAGCTATAATAGTATTTACTGGCAAGCCATAATTTTCAGCTTAACCCTTGGGAGCTATTTTTCCTTTCCTTTTTTTTTTTTTTAATTTGTCAGAGAAGAGTTGCACTTGTCAAAAAGAGACAGAGACAGAGGGAGAGAGAGACAGGGAGAAAGCAACCCCTATGGGACATGGTCATAGCACAGTCCTTTCTCCTCCATTTCTCCCTCCTTTCAGGAGTTGGGCATGCATGCACATGTGTTTGGCATGTCTCTCAAGCTCCCAGGTCCAGAACTCAAATGTGCATTTGGTCATGTGGAATATGGCTGCTTTAACCATTAGGCCATGGGCCAGCCTGCTATTTTTGGCTTTTAAGTTTTTATACTTCTCAGAAACTGACACTGATGGGTTCTCAAGACCTTGGACATGTGGGTCAAGTCTTAGATTTGAAAGGATCTCTCTTGCAATGGACAGCAAAAGAGGCACAGGCATTGAGGCATTCAGCCCAGGCCTTGGGCTGGAATCCTGGTCCCTCTTCCTAGCTCCGTGACCTCAGGTGAGCTGCTGAATCCCTCTGAGCCTCACTTTCCTCATTTGTACAACAGAAATAGCAAAACATTGATTCTGCGTTGCTATGAGAATTGGTAATGGTGTATGGCTTTTCTATATTCTCTCGGAAAATAGAAAGGGTCTTCGAAAGTCCACGGAAAGTGTTTATTATGTAAAAACTATGCATGGATTTCAAATTTTTTTACACCAGAATAAACACATACTTTTATTCCACTTTTCCACACATTTTTTGAAATCCTCTTGTGTGCTTAAAACTCTATGCCAAGCTCCATGCTAGGTTTGTTTGTTTGTTTAAAGTTTCTTTCTTTCTTTCTTTCATCAATGAGAGAGGCAAAGGGAGAGAAAGACAGAAGGAGATGTGCCCCCAGTGGGTCCTGTTGCCTCAATGTACCTCTAGCCTTCAACCTGCCCTGAAACATGGGCAAGCAAGGGCCTGGTGTTCTCAGGGAAGGCTCCAGACTTGAACTAGGAACTTTCCAGTGTGGGATTACCTTGCAGAGCATTGTGTTTTACTGCTGCTCTACCATTTGGCCCCCATGCTAGGTTTCTAAGCAAGACAGAGCAGCATGGCCCCGTAATCTAAAAGGAAGTGCCAGGAAAGTCACGGGTGTGTCGAGTGCACTGTGCTGTGTTGGAAACAAAGCGACTGGAGTACTATACCTGCTACAGAGGGCTGAACGTGAACACGCAAAGCTGAGCCAATGGAGCGAGACACAAAGGTCACGAGCTGTATGACTCCGTTCATCTGAGGGGCCCAGAGGGGCAAGTCTGTGTAGGCCAGAGGTTACCAGGGACTCAGGAGCGGGGAATGGGCAATAACTGCTCATGGTGTATCTTTTGGATGATAAAAGTATGTTGGAACTAAATAGATGTACAGTATTGTGAATATAGTAAGTGCCACTGATTAGTAGTACACTCTGAAATGGTTAAAAGGTAGGGCTGGTCCTATAGCATAGCACATGCTGGCATGGGGAGCCAGATCTCACATGGCCTGCTGTAGTTAAAATTCTGGCCCTGGCAGCTTGAAAACACACCAGGCGCGTGTGTGTGTGTGTGTGTGTGTGTGTGTACATGTGTGCATGCCCTATATTCTGATGGGATGGAGAAATGGAAGAAAAATTATTGTGACGTGACCACATCCTACAGGGGTGTGTGTGCTTTTTCTCTGTTTAATTAACAAATGGTTTAAATGATAAATTTCATGTTATAGAAATATTGCCTCAATTTAAAAAAAAAAAGGCATGTGGGGTGCAGGGCTGTCTTTTACAGAGAGTGGTCAGGAGAGTGACGATGTCACTGATAAGGAGCCGCAGAGGCAGAGATCTGGGGAAGGAGAGGAGCCAGCCCTGTGAAGACGTGGTGAGAGCAGCCAGGGCACAGGCCCTGAGATAGCAAAGAGTTCCTGCCTGGGTGGTCTGAGGGCACGCGGGCGATGGTAT